CTTGATCTGTATCCATTTTTAGCTGATTAGGCTCAAGCCCACCAAGGGTCCCCTGGACTCTGGCAGATCCAGAGCATGATTTGATCATCCTCCCCCTTGTACCACTTCACATAATGTTCCTAGCCTAGTCGTTGGGTTTTTTGACCCCAGTCCAACAGGGGACAATTCAGTTTATCCAACACGGGGCCTTTAGATCCCCTGAGGCTGAGGCCATTCCAGTAAAGTGCCTCACTCAGCCTTAGTTTCCTCACCTGCATCAGGAGGGAAGACTGGGGGAAACTGAATGATGCTTGAGGTCTAGTCCAGCTTCGCTACTCCCCTTCCCTCCATTGCCAGGATTCCCCACCTGCAGTGGCCCAGCTGGACCAGATAACCTCCAAACTCTGGGACATGGCATCTTGATAGCAGGGACATCTGAGTCCAGTAGGCCTTGCTGAGGCAAGGTCCTTCTCTCCTGCCCCACTGCACCTCCTGAGAAGACTCCTGGTCCCATCTTTCCTGCCTTCCTCCCCTCCCGACTCCTAAACTTGTCTGAGCCCAGTCTATGCCCTTAGATCTCTGCTTTCTGTCCTCTAGTTGGAGACAGCTGGCAGCTGCTGATTCAGCAATATTTTATCCAGGGCCTTCCACCTGCCACGTAGACCTTGGAGTTTCAGTCAGCAGCCTGCTGGGTAGATGGCCCTGGCTTTGTGGACCCTCCTCTCCTTCCTTCCCAGAGCTCATGTGTTCTGCACTCATCCACTCACACCGCTCATTTATTCCCCCAGTTACCAATCTGTTCATTCTCCCCCTTTTTCTTGATTCGTTTACTCATTCATTCATGTGGCACTCACTTAGTCCCCCAGGCAGGTCCAGGAACATGTCTGGCTATAGACTGTCCTGAGATCGTGTTAGGATGCAAACACAGAGGCAGAACGACAGAGTGGAGTACAGGGTTCGTGTGCTCAGACATAGTCCCTGAAGTCTGAGCTGGAGAGTCCCTAACAAAGACCAGTCCCCTTGTTGAATAGATGGTACAAGGGAGGCCCAGCAAGGCCCCAGGCCATTGGGTAAGAGAGGAAGGAGGCCACCCTTCCAGGGCACTTCTGGCCTGCCCACCACACTGGGGTCAGTCTTCTAGCCCTGCCCACAGGCAGAACATCACTTTTTCCACTTCTGAGTCGATCCTGCTGGAGCTGGGTTCAGGCGAACACAAGGACTAAGACAGGGTAATGCCCTCTGGGACCAAGAGATGGATTCAGGAGGAGTTAGTCAAAGGGCTGGAGGGCCTACCATAAAAAGAACCAAAAAAATAAAATTTTAAAAAAAAAAAACAAAAACCAAGGAACCAAAATAAAAAAAGACAAGAAAAAAACCCCAAAACCAAAACCAAAAAAACAAACAAAAGAAAATAAGAAAAAAAACCAAAAAAAACAAAAAGATGTGTGAATACAAGGAAAGCCCCATTTTCCTGGAAAGAAAACATTTTAAGAATGTTTTCCCCAGTGAAGCTCAAAAACAAATGAAACATGTTTTAGGGCTGAAAATGAATTAACCAAATGTTTACTTAAGTAATCCATCAAAATTAAATTCTATCACTGAATCTATTAATTTAGGAAACTAGGAAACAATTTTAGGTGACTTCTTCACCCTGCTGACCGGTAGAGGGGGCTAAAGCGGGCTAATGTGTTTTGTTAACAGTTTTGTTGGTGATAAAATGCTGGGAGAGCACCCTGTATGATGAAGACGGTCTCAACAGGGCAGGCCTTCCCTGAGCAGTGACTCTGGAAAGAAGCCTTCTCGTAGAGTCAGGCCCAAGAGGTGGTATTGAGCATGGGCACTTGCACACAGCTCCTGGATGGCCATGTGCGGCTGCAGCTGCTTGCTCCCTCCTTGCCAAAGGCCTCTCTACTGCCTCCCACCAAGCCAGGGACACTGTTTTTCATGGTGATGGTCATTATGACCAAAAACCCTAAACTGTATCAAGAGGCGATTTGAATGGTCATCATTCAGCCAGTATCTACTGAGCATTTGCAGCACGGGGCCCCAGACAGGTACACAACAGACTGAAATGTGTGCAGTGTAGAATGGAGGGATAAATGAGTAATTGGGGGAGCATATAGTAGGAAAGGGGAAGTACCAGGCGGCACATACTCACTGAGGTCTTGCGATATACCAGAGAGTTCACAAACCCCATCTCTAGTCCTCATGATGGCCTGTGAGTGGGAGTTATTACAAATCCCAGCTCTTCTCTAAGAACTAACAGCATGTGTTCTTAGGCCACTTACTTTGCCTTCCTAGGCTTCAATTTCCTCCTGTGTAAATGGGAAACACCTACCACATATTTAGAGTAGCAATCAATGTTATCATTATTATAACTGAGGCTCGAGGAGGAGCTGCGACTAGCCCGGGGCCACACCGCCAGAGGGAGAAAGAAGTGGCCTGTGTTTTCTTTTCCATCCCACAACCTGCAGTACAGAAAGGGTTAAAGTGGAAGCTTTGCCCTTCAAAACAGGCCCACTGGCCTGGACTAGGCTGCCCTCTCTGCACTTGAGAAGCGAGGTCACTGCCCCTGCCGGATAACCCCGGGTCACCTGTGGCCACATGCACTGCCAGCCCACAAAGGGCACTTGGAGAGAGCGATGGGCATGGCTGTCCTCTGAGACCTCAAGAGCTGGTCTGAGCTTCCCCCTGTCATGTCTTGAGACTTTGGGCAAGTTCCTCCAACTTTCTGAGTCTCAGTTTCCTCATCTGGAAAGGGGGATACTAATGTTTTTCTGCCTTATAAAGCTGCTGTGGGGATTGAGCAAGTTAAAGGCTGGGAAGCGTTTTTTCACATTACCCTATTGTGCTAATATAAGCATAGTTAGGACAGGTGACTTAATGGGGAGGGCTAAAGGGAGGTAGAATTCAGTTCAACATAAAGATCAACTTTCTCATAGCTCTGGCCATGAGACTGGGAAGGATTGGGCAAGTGGATGACAGTCAGGAGGGTGCAGAGGAGCCTCCCTCCCTGGGGAGGAGAGGGGAGGTGAAACAAGATCCGCTACCTGTGCACTCCTCCTTTCTCTCCCACTTCTGCTGGGGCAGAAGGTACTTAGCAGATCTTTCCACCCAGCATGATGTTGTGCGCAGGTGCCTGAACCAGAACCTGGAACGTCTTGTTCTCCACTTGACTGTGCCACTAACTTGCTATGCCACTTGGAGCCTCTCTCTGGGCTTAATCTTCCTAGTTATCTCCCAAATATATATAGCAACTGCAGTTTGTCACCTCTAACAATGTGGCCATGCAAAGGATTATTCTCTTCCAAGACTGTTGGCCAAAGGACTAGGAGAGTGATAAAGAGTAAGCATTGCAACTTGTAGATTGACAGGTTAGAGCAGAAAGAGACTCTGCATGAATCTAGAATCCACACAGATAATCCACCTGTGGACAGTGCTTTGTGGTTTACAGAGCATTTTCATTGGATTTGTCTTATACAATCCAAACAACACCCCCTCAAATTTACAGATAAGTGTATGGCTCCAGTTACCTTGTGTAAAACTGATGTAACTTCACATCGGTCTGGAGCACTCATTGGAGGTGGGAGGGAAGTGGTCCTGGGATGGAATCCCAGCTCCAGCAGGACCATGGGCAAGTTACTTTAGCTGTCTGAACCTCCATCTTCTCATTGGTAAACAGGAATATTAAAACATTCATCATAGGTTGTGTGATGAAGATTAAAAGAGGTAACCCATGAAAGAGCGCAGTGCAGAACCTGATGCAAAGATGCTCAGTATCAGCCCACAAAAAAACAAAAAATACAGCTAGGAAACCCCAGGACTGGGCTTCTGGCTCCTCAATGACCCCATTAAACTGCAGTGTTTCATGACCCTTCTCCCTAGTTCATTTCCCAATTGGACACCCAGGTTGAAGAAAAGAACTGCATACTGGGAAGCAGGCAGTGAAGAGGCAGCGTGGTCTCAGGAGGCCTGAAAGGATTACTGCCTTGTGGTACAACCGCTGAGAAAGCAGTATGGAGGTTTCTCAAAAAACTAAAAACAGAAATACCATTTGACTCAGTAATTCCACTCCTAGGAATTTACCCAAAGAAAACAAAGTCCCTGATTCAAAAAGACATGTGAATCCCTGTTTATCGCAGCACTATTTACAAGAGCTAAGCTATGGAAGCAATGTGAGTGCTCATCAGCAGATGAATGGATAAAGAAGAGGTGGTACACATACAGAATGGAATACTATTCAGTGATAAGAAGAAAAGAAATCCTCTCATTTGCAACAACATGAATGGACCTAGAGGGTATTATACTCAGTGAAATAAGCCTGATGGAGAAAGACAAATACCACATGATTTCACTTTTTTGTGGAATATAAAAACAAAGCAAAACAGAAGGAACAAAATAGCAGCAGACTTACAGACACCGAGAAGGGACTAGTGCTTTAACTAAGGGGGAGGGGCTGGAGGGGCTGGGGGGTAGGAGGAGAGGGGTAAAGGGGCACAATAATTCACAATCACAAATAAGTTGATCACGGGACTGTTGAACCACTGTGATGTACATTTGAAACCAACATAAGACTGCATATTAATGATACTTCAACAAAAACATTTTTAAAAAAGAATTACTGCCCTGGAGTCAAGGCCACCAGTTGCCAAAGAGAAAAGCTTCCCTCTAACTGGCCCTGCAAGCTGATGAAGAAGGAGGCTGGTTCTTGCTGAAGCAGTCACAGAGGGCTGAAATGACGGACAAACAGCTGGCAGGTCTGTCCCCAAGCAGATAGGTTGCTTGATATGAACATTGGTGCCCAAACCCTGGGATTAGCCTGAAACAGAGCTGTGTTGACCCACCAGCTGGGCCTTAGCATCCTGTCAACTGCCATCACATTCAGACAGCCTAGACATAGTGCTCGGTGGTTTGCAGGACTCAGCATGGATATGGCAGCAGCTGTGCAAGTGCGAGCCAGGCAGCACTCTTGAGAATGGCCTGATGTCCTGGCCCAGTACTTGGCAATGGTGTGAAATGTGGGGCAGGTGGTGATGATCCCCAGCCTTCTGTGGGATGTGCAGCTGAATGCACATGGGCACCAGGCCCAGCTGGAGCCCTGATCCCTACACCAACTTCACCCGGCTCAAGGCCATCCACGTGGATGTGGACCGTGGGCTGTTGCCCAGGGATGAGTGGCAGGCCAAGATGGCAGATGGCAAAGCTGATGAGGCTGAGGATGAAGCTGCAGAGAGAGAGGAAGCCAAGGAGGAGAGGGTGCCAGGACAGCTGGACATGCAAGTTCCACCTGCACTTCTCCAGCCTTCATCACATCTTCATCACTTCACCCTGAAAGCTTAGGAGGTGATGAGGAAATAGCAGGACATAATGGGGCAGACCATGTAGGCCTTGGACTGTAGTGAAGGTAACGGTAGCCATGATGGTGGGCATCATGAGTCCACTGAGGGAGAGGTGGCGCATTCTGAAGAGGTGAAGGAGCAGAGGTATAACCCAGTGGGAAAGGGAGAGCCCAGCTCTCAGAGAGCCACTCTCACTTTAGGGTTTGGGGACCATGACCTGGGGGGACCTAAGGCCAGGCCTGCTCTAGTCTCTGACACAGAATTGATAAGTAATGGCCATCAACTATATGGGGATGGAAGGAAAAGTGCCTGCAAATGCATGCCTTATGTGAATATATGTTTGTGCATGTGTGTGCTTAGTAGTATGCACATGACTGCTTGGAGCTGTATGAATTCAGTGTGTTCTTCCTGTCGGCTCTTTAGAAATCTGATTAAAGCTATGGACTTATCTCCCCAGAGTCCAGGCATATGGACATATAACTGTACATATCATTTCAGGGGCTGTGCCATCTAGCAAGGCCTATCCATGAATCCTCAGAACTCCTGACATCCTATATTAATAATAGCTCCCATTTGAGCACAGAGTGCCAGCACAGCCCCCAAGTGATTGCTATGTAATTATCTCATTTAATCTTCATAATAATTCTATGAAGATAGGTTTTATTATTTCCATTTTACAAATGAACTTACCCAAGATATGGGTATTTATTCAGCTGTCTGTTGTGAATTCTGTGTGTGTGGCAGTGCTTCCCAACATTTTTTCAAGTTACAGGACATGGAAAATTATATCTGTATGGCACATGGGGGTACACTGGCTGCTCACAGTATTCCTGCACCTCGCAGGTTGCAGCCAGCCAAACAGAAAGCTAAAGGATCACTATCTTGGCACTTTAGTCCATTCGAGGCATACCAGTGTGGAGGCATGCCCACTGGAAGCCCTGTTGTAAGGACAATCCATGTGTTGGCATCTGAGCCCATATATCCATGTGGAGAAGGGCTGGGGTTGTGAGGTGTGGAAGAGCAGCAAGCTAGACAAGCAGGTGGCATACATGGTCATGGGTGAGTCACTCACAGGTGAAGACTGGGAGAAATTTGGCCACAGCACCTGCCAGTTTTGATATTGTGCTACTTGCCAGCCCTGTTCCCACAAACTGGCTTCACTGGTGATAAACCATGTCCATGGGAATCTCAAAACCACTCAATGTAGGCATGTGAGGCAGGATTTTTATCCCCATTTTACTAGTAAGGAATTAAAACCAGAGGTGAAGTGACGCACAGAAAATCCCATAGTAAGGGGACAAAAGCAAGATTGGCCTCAGCTTTGAACCAGGTGTTCTATCACACCCACTGCCTGCTATGTGGTGTTATTTTCACCTGAAGGCTGCTCTGTCATGATGGGGAATAAATAGCCTATAGAGAGCTCTGCTCAGTTATTTTCTTAGCCATTTTCCCCTCCTCTACCTCAAACCCAAGTCCAAACTGCTAACTTCAAGCCTGCTTCTCTCTGCCCTTTAAGCATCCTGGGTCATCTTTCAGAAGGTCTTGAATATAAAGGTTGGGTCATCAGCTCTGGGTTCATCTTGAATCCACTGCTAATGAGCTCAGGTCTTGGGTTAGCCACCTTACTTTTCTAGGTTCCAGTTTCTTCACTGAGTAACTACAGTGGTAGTCAAAGTAACTGAAAAGTTGAATAGTTTAAAATCACTTGCATATCAATTATCTAATGGAATTATCATCCCCTTTTACAGACAAAAAATGGAGGCATAAGAAGATAAATGAGTTCAAGGTTCCTCAAGAACTGGCAGAGCTAAGATGTGAATGAACCCTGGCTTAATTAGCATTTAATTCCATTCCTCTGCAACAGTGGATTTGCTTAGCACCTTAGAATTCTGCAGCCTGGGCTGGAGGTGGGAATAGAGGATGGCAGAAGGATAGAAACCCCACTCCTTGACCAACTTAACTGCCTCAAGGTCAACAGCGACAATTGTACAATACACCATAATGCTTCAATACCCTAATCCAGTTTTTGTGGAGGCTGTGAGGTACAGAAGTTAAAAAATCTGGGCTCTTGTCCTGGCTCTGCCACTGACCTCTGGGTAACTTACTTCATTTTCCTACATTGCAGTTTCCTTGTTAGTAAAATGTAGAGGTGAAACCAGATGAATTATTGCTGCTCTGACGACTTGATTTTCATACAGTGCTAAAACACTGCCATCGAGCTTTCTCATTATTTTTCCTGCTTCAATAGGCATCTAACAGTACCTTAGTGGTATGAATTTACAGAATTAGTTTTTGAAACTTTTGTACTCCATTCATCTCTTACATGATAGAAGGCGGGCTCTGTGAGGATGACATGGGGCAGTTCACTAGCCCTGATGATAAGACCAGAAAGGCCTGACCTGCAGCTGGATGACTGTGTGAAGATGACTCTCTGGGATGCTTCCTTGCCTCCCTCTGAGCACCAATTCATGGGCTCATCACTAGGTCACCTTTAGAATGCTTGTTGCTGTTAACAACTCACCTCACTCCTCTTACCAGCTTGGATGGTGGCCAGTGGTTCATAAGGGACTAGATGTTACATGGTCACTGTGGTACAGTAGAAAGGGTATAGATTTTAGCATCTGACCAACCAACGTTCACATCTCTCCTCTTGGCAGTCATTTGCTATGTGATCTTGGGCAAGTTACTGAGCCCACTGGAGCCTAAATTTCCTTATTTATGAAATGGGGATAGTATTACCTACCTCGCAAGGCTGTTATGAAAGTTAAACAAGATGATTAATCAAGAGCACCTGGGCTGATTTTCTTCTTCTTCCCTGGTACCGAATACCTTGTATTTGCTCTAGCTTGTGCTTTTCACCTTCCAGGACTAAGGCGTAGCACAGTCCCTTGGTATGTGGTTCACATTCTTGTACCTGCCAAGCACAGGTGAACTATAAACTTATTTACTGCAATAGTAATTTTTAAGAAACCCTTGTATTTGTTCATTTCTTAATATACTAGAGTCCTTTCTCAGACATGATTTCACTTTTAATAAGTGGGACTCAAACTCATCTGATTTTGCTCAGAAATCTCTGCTTATATTCATACTGTCACTTAATTTGAAAGTATCTATAGAGAAACAATTTTATTAATCTCCACAAATTAACCTAATTATAAAATCTGAGCTTAGAAACACAAACATTTTGGACAAGCGTTTGGATTTGATAAGCCATAGAGAGTAACCTTATTCCAGTTAGGTGGGATCTTTTACTTCTAATTGCACCAAAAAACACTGTAGACAGTGTTAGCTACAGAGCCCACTTTCTTCATGATGGTCCATCTAAGAGCAAAGATCCCCTTTGCAGTATCAGTGCTCTAACTGTTCTCCCAGTCTTGAGTGACCTCCATCTAAACTATCCTATATATTGCTGCAGAGAGAGCTCAGAAATACACATTTGATCATGTTTTTCCCATTTAAAACCCTTTAATATATTCCCACAACCTGCAGGATTGAGTCAAAATTATTCTACATGACTCACAAACCCCTTCCCTGGTCTGGCTTGCTTTGCACCAGAACGCGAGCTGGCAAACTTTTCCTGTAAAGGCCACCTATTAATATTTGAGGCTTTGCAGGCTAGGAGGTCTCTGTTAAAACTATTCCAGTCTGCTGTTGTAGTGGGGAAGCAGCCATAAACAACATGTAAACAGTGAGCATGGCTGTGTTCCAAAGAAGCTACACTGCCAGTGGACCCTGAACTATAACTAAGCATTTCAAATTCTGTCTGATGTCTTCTTCAAATTGGGTGAATGGAAACTGACCATTCTCTGATGAACTATTTTTCTTGACCAACAGGAATCAAAGTGCTCATGATGACCATTTTAATCACAAGGTGTCAACATACAGATTAACACAAGCTTCAGATACCATGGGAACATGGTCCATGTTCCACGACCTTCAGATAACCGGTATCAGTGAAACTGAACAAATTTTGGAGACTTCAACGCACTGCATGGAATTCTTCAAGAATTTCACTGTAAGTTTTCTTATCTATAAAAAGAAAAATAAAAAAGTATCTATTTTAAAATTATATTTTAAAAAATCATATTTTCTAAAGAAAAATTAATACTTAATATTCTTATAGATTGAAACCTCTAAGAATTTCCTCATGCTCTCCTCAACCATTGGCTGGCAATCATTGAGCCATTTTGTTTCACTGAAGAATAACTCTGGAAGAATCTGTGGAGACATCCAGATGACTGCCTAGAGGGCTGAATGCTGCCAAGGGGATGCTGGCTGAAGGGGTGGCTGAAGGAATGAACAAGGAGGGGCACAGGTCAGTGACGAGGGGCCAGGGACAGAGCTGGTCAAGCTCTCCATGCCCCTGCTGTCAGTGCATGGGACTCTTGGCATACATGCCAGTAATCTGCTGCTCACAGACAGCAAGTCCGTGAGGTTGTATAAGTCCTGCTGACACAGGAAGCCAGTGGAAATACGGAGGCAAAGAGCCAGAGGTCTGAGACTGAGGACTGCTCTGCCACTGGGTCTCACACTTAGGATGAATATTGCCAAGACTGCTTTCAGTCTAACATCCAACAGTTCTGAGTATTCCGCACCCTTATACATCCAGCATTCATGGCTTTGCACTAGTCTTTGAGCTTTTCACTGGCAAAAAAAATTTTATTTAATCCACCATAAATATTTTTTGTTTGCATTGTCATTGGTAGTATATTAAGGAGACATTCATGCATTTCAATAATTGCTTAAATTCTGATACCCAGAAACTGCCAGTGGACCCTGAACTATAACTAAGCATTTCAAATTCTGTCTGATGTCTTCTTCAAATTGGGTGAATGGAAACTGACCATTCTCTGATGAACTATTTTTCTTGACCAACAGGAATCAAAGTGCTCATGATGACCATTTTAATCACAAGGTGTCAACATACAGATTAACACAAGCTTCAGATACCATGGGAACATGGTCCATGTTCCACGACCTTCAGATAACCGGTATCAGTGAAACTGAACAAATTTTGGAGACTTCAACGCACTGCATGGAATTCTT